GAGCAGGTCTTCACGCAGATGAGGGCAAAGATGGAAAAAAACAGCCCCTGAATGGTTGAGTGGAGTATAAGGGTCAAAATGGTTAAGAGGTGTTTGTAACCATTAAGAGGTGGTTTTTTTTTTGCCAAACACTTGCAACCTCTGACCGATTCAGCGATTGGCTCTTAATGTAACCATTAAGAGCCTACCAAACAGCCCCTAAGTTTCCCCAGACGTGGTGACTTTTGTCTGTTCTGATAAGTAGCCCTGTTTTGATGAAGGAATAAGGGTGGCATATCAAGGAGAGATGTACTTGGAATAAGAGAGACATTGTCATATGTGGATAATATTATAACTCTTATTATTGTTACTAATTGGATTTAATAACTTTGAATCATCATTTCTTTGTGACCTGATGAATTAGAGATACTATTCCTATTAGAATCAATAATTTAGATGTTATTGAGAAGGGGAAAATGGTTTGTCATAAAAGGGCAAGTATTGCCTTAAATCTTTCCGTTAAATATTTACAAAGGAATGGACTGATGATTCAGAGAAGCTTTGGTTACAATGTTTGTTTCATATTGGAAACGTTAGATCTTTAAGCATATGTATTTTATTAATAAGAACTGAGGTTCTGGAGTTTATCCTTTTATATATGTCATTAAGAACTGCATTGTTTGAAGGTATTATAAATATTTCTGGGCAAAGTTACTTTATTATATGTTGGTATTTATTACCCTGCATTTGCAAAGGAGGAATTCACTCACTAGACCCTTCTGGTCTAACCCTCATTTTCTGTTTTAAAATATGAAATGTAGGAATGGCGGGGTCCAGGGATAGTAAAAGGAAAGGGAAAATGTGATTATTTTCCTAACCTATTATCTGCTTTTGAAGATCTGTTTTTGATGGCTTATTTTGAAGACACATGTTGTATTACATGTGTTAGTACATGATTTGTTTTGAAAATTTTCATATGTAGATTTTTGTACATATAATAATCCTTGTTCTAGCGGGACCTTGTGATGTAAACTATATTTCCATGTAATGAAATATGTGTTATATGCAAATGTGGTGTTTGGGGGTGTTACATTATCCTTCTGTAAGATTTTTAGAATAATATTAAGGTTATATATTTTGTCTTTAACAAACTGTGAACTTAACCATCTATATGCTATTTTACGTTTGCAGGGGGCTTTGAAAGTTTCCATGATAAGTCCTGGAATCATCTATGAGCCATATGGTCCTCGTGAGCCTATCTCTTTTTTGCGAAGGTTAGATGATATCATGAGACCTCAGCATTAGCTCTATTGAACCTTCTTTTATTTGTCTTCTATTTCTAACCAGGTTCTCATAAACAGCTTCTGGCATTAGAAACTTAGTATAGCACGGAACCAAATTTTATGTTAAGTTGCAATCTATAACCTGAAGTCAGGCAGTGTGAAAAAGTCACCTATAAGCAGACAGAGGCAATGCAAGTCAACAGGAGGTCACTGAGCTTTGACTCGTCCAGAGTGGCCAGTATCAGTTCTTCAGGCAGTGGCTGCACATGTTGGTGCCAATGGTGGTGACTTTGGTGATTCCGGCTTATTACTTTAGAGTCTAGTCATAGATTGCCTAGTTCTGGTGAGGTTATGCCACCCAAGCAGCCATTTGGTGCCTGATGCTGAAAGGAGTCATCACTCCTTCATGGGAGATGTACTTATCCCATAGGAATCTGGGATGCACCATTCACAGCGACTGGAAAATTTGGGGTATGGTTGCACTGTATATTCATTGATGGTGCAGACAGCATGTGGAAGAAACCGTACCAATAATCAGAAGAGAGAAGAAAGATGATGTGAGAGAGGCGAGAATAGAGATGTGAAGTAGAAATAAAATGGAGAAAGATGAAGAGAGACTGAAAGTACCTAATTTATTGGTGAGATAAATGGATTTTTGGGAATAATAATAACGATCATTAGGATCATATACACCCCTGACTTTGTAAAATGACATAAACCTTCGTTAATCTACTTCTTTTCGATGAATTACATAATTAACTCCATTTCGGAGTTAGATGTAGCTAATTACATTTAATGTCTCTAATTTTTTTTTTCAATTTTCCTAAAGATTTTGTTTTGTAGATTGGATTATCTTTTTGATCTTTACATATGAATTAAGCTCATATAAGCTTATATGCTTATTGATTCCTTCCAGCTCCAGAATTGTAAATTTATGGAATAGATTTATTCGGTGTGAGAATGCAGGTGGGCAGTTCCTGCACAAGCATAACCCCCAGAAGTTTTAACTAGGTACTTGGGTGCTTTGACATGCAAAATGGTATTAGTGACTAGCTTATGTCTCTGTTAGTCCCGCTGTGGTGGTGACATATGCAAGAAAGAAGAAGATTTTGATATGCCAACAATGTGGGGAAAACCCTTGCACAATATCAGCTCACATGTGGTCCAGATGCTGAGTTTGCAAAGAGAGAATAAATATAAAGGGGAAGGGGGAAGAAATTATTCTGGGTGTGAAATTTTACAATTTCATTAAATAATGTTTGGCCTCAAAATATTTGTTGTTGCCTGTGTTGAAAAATGGAACTTGGCAAGTCAAAACACCTAATTTTCTGGACTAAACATGTACAAGATTTTGGGTCCTAAAGACCTTATTTAGGGAAGAACCTAAAAATCTGCTGACATAAATGCATACAAGTTATTGGGTCCAAATCAAGCTTAATTAGAGACCTAGGTTGATTAATGTTACCAATGCATTCCAATCATATAAGCAGCATACTTGTTTGAACTTTTGAACCTGAATAAGAATCTTAAACTACTTGGAGTTCGAACCTACAACAAGATGAACTTATGCACCGTTGATCTCATCTGTAGGTGGTTCACAAGAGATGGATGGAGAAGAACAAAAGACGATATCTTTCTGGAGGTTGCATCTTGCTCTTTATCACCTTGTACATGACACATGCTGTTGATATGGATATGTTACAGCAGTTTATTTCGATCTATTATAATATTCTGAATTTCCTTGAACCTAAGTTTGTTGTAGTGGTTGGAGAAAGCATAATCTAGTAATCTTTTTGTTTTCTATATGACATGAATTTGGGATGTTAACAATCACGACCGAGATCTTTGATCCAAAGAACTAAGAAAGAAGCCTTTTAGCCCAAACTAGTTAGGGTATGCAATTGATAACTATCACAAATTACAACGTGAAGTAATCTTCTCGGATTCACGAGCATGAGTAGCACCTCCTCCTTGATCATCAAGCTGAGGCTACATGTTTGCTAATTTATGAAATATTTTTTTCCCAAGATCCTCTATGTTAATGTTAGGCTATCTCGGCCTCTTCTCCTCTCTCTCTCTCTCTCTCTCTCTCCCCTAATATTGAATATTGACGACTCTTTTTGCTGTTGCGTCCGAAGGTCTACATTGAAAATGATGAAAAAGCTCCTAGGTTGTGTTTCTTAATTTTCTCCTTAATGGTTGCCACCTCAACTTTCTTCCATGTATTTTCTTTCGTAATCCCATACATCTTGTGTGGCTAGCCATTCAGCTCAATATATGTTATATCTTGATGTGCCTCAACATTCTGGTCAATAAAGCGTAGCGGGTTGTAATGTGGATCCTGTAAAGTTTATCATTCAATTTCAGTGGGTTTATATATGATTCAACACCTAGATTCATGCTGCAACTTCATCCAATCAAATGTCATCTTATGGCTATGAGTAGCATCATCGATCGCCTCTTCTATAATATTGATCCAAACTAATAAAATGCAGGGTTACATACCTTATTTGAACACACCTGCCACTTTGTAATTCATTTATCAACACCACGATGCTCATTAAGTGTTTAATTTTGTTCGGTTTAATCTAATTCCTGTAGATTCTAAAGTGATTCTTCACCACTCTAGCTTAGCATTAGTGCATGTCCTTGTCGTTCCAGTTAGCATGATGTCATCAGCTAAAAGCACACACCACGGTGATTTTTCTTGTATGTGATGATTAACCCAACCTAACTGACACAAACAGTTAAGCATAAACCAAACCAAACGTGACCTAGTATCATTCACTCGGAGGTAGGTCTTTATTGGAGGGGAGGGAGATGTATGCGTTCGTTTCCATTAGAGAGACTGTTTCCTTGAAGGTCCCTGACTTGCAATTCAAATTTTAAAGTAGGAGAGCAAGAGACAAGTGAAAACAACTAGCAAAAGAGTGTGCAAACAGACAGAGTATATTAAAGAGAAAAGGAAGCAGAGAAAAAATACGAGGGACACAAACAGCAAAGCATGTTAATGCCAATCTTTGGTGTCATCACATTGTAATAATGGTGAAGTAGTTTCATCATCACATGTTGTCATGCAAGATCCTACTTCACCATAGATCACATCAGCATACTTTGTAGGACAATTTTTTTACTCTCTTGAGTCATCACATTACCCTCCTTGGTGTTCTAACATATGCCTTTCTTGATCGATAAACACCTTATGCAGATCCTGTTTCTTGACCTATATCTCTTGACTTCTTTAAATTGCAAGTTCGAATTTACCTTTGGCTGTTGACTTGACACTTGACTTTGTATTACATGCAGCTAAAAAATGCATATGCTATTGCCAAATTGCGTAAATCTGGTTATTCAAAACAGAAATTCTATGCTGAAGCTATAAACATGTATAAAGAGGTATGCTTCTTGCTATACATGAATACATCCTTGTGAAAGTTAAGTATATTTGCGATTGTTATGTTTATATCCATGTGATAAAATGAGTATTTTAAGAAATTAGTAGGAAACATAGCTGAAAGCTCATGCTTGGCTATTTATCTGGCTGTGCAAGTGAAAGCTTACAGTTTTTTAGGAAACTCGACTACAGAACATGCTGATTCTTTTAAAAGGTCCCTTTAACTTCCAGGAATTACTATCTTATTATGCTTGATGCTTCAAATATGCTTAATGTTCATAAGGGTGATGTGTTACGAGCCACACTAGAGGAAATAGGGTGTCGGGCAGTTGAATCTTGGAGAAGGTCAAAACATATTAGAAGTTGTTTCTGATTAATAAAATACATGATACAATTAAATATCTATGTGTTGGTTAAGAAAGAATATACTTAGCATTAATGGTTAGCATTGTCTTGTTTCTGTTTTTTGTCATAGTCCCTGTATATTTTCACCCTTGCATATTTGCACATTTTTCTATAATATAACTAACCTTTCTGAGTTGTGCTCTTTTCATGCCTTAATGGGATTATATCCAGGGCTTTAAGGATGAATGTATTCTAGTCATCACCAAACTCGGGTTTGGAGAGATCTTATACTATTCAGTGAGTGTAGACACTTGTCGAACTCCTGCATGACTGTTCTCCACACATTATTCTAGCTTGTATTTATTGTATAGTAATGAGTGTCTGATGGGTAACTATAACAATTCTATGCAAAACAAGTAAGAATACAGAAATGGGAGGAAGAAGATGATGAATTCATTGAACTTGAATCAGACAGATTACAAAGGAATAAAACTCAGGTAAAACCCTCTCTCACAATCAACAGATTGGAGCCTAAACAATTATCAAAGAAAACAGAATACCCACTACAAGATCACCCTCCACTATTTATTCTTCTCTCTCCTCTAACAAACCTCAGCCACTTTTCTCATTTCCTGTTTTAACCCTTCTAGAATACACATGCAATATTCTAGGCTTAGTTGCATCATTTTTAATTAATTCCCAATTCGTATAACTACTTCCCCCTTCCGACAAAGTCTTGTCCTCAAGACTTGTTTCAGGAAATTGACTTTTAATCATCAAGGCATCTTCCCATGTTGCTTCTTCCATAGACTTCCCTTTCCATTGAATCAACCAGTGCTCAACATCTCTGTTATGAACTCTGCTTGTACGAGTGGCTAGCACAGGTACTGGGGTAATTATTTCATTGGCATGTAAATCTAGTTCCGGAGGTAACGCTGTATCTGTGGGTCCATAAACAGCTTTCTTTAGATACGAGACGTGAAAAACCGGATGTATCTTCGAAGTTGGAGGAAGATCTAACTTGTATGCCACTGGTCCTACCTTCGTTGTGATCATAAATGGTCCAAAAAAACGTGCCGCCAACTTCTGATGAATTCGGCTAGCCACTGAAAGTTGTCGATACGGTTACAATTTGACGTATACCCATTCTCCAACAGCAAAGTGTACCTCCCGTCTCTTCTTGTCTGCACTCCGCTTCATAACTTCTTGAGCGTGTGACAAATGAACTCGAAGGTGTCTCAAAGCTTCATCACGATCTTTAATTCTTCAAGCACCTGTTGGACTCATATTTCCCCCGGTATGAATTGGGTGATTGTTGGTGGTTTTCGACCATAAACCACCTCGAATGGAGATTTACCAATTGATCCATGAAAAGTGGAATTATACCAAAATTCAACCCAAGGAATCCACAAAGACCAATTACGAGGTTGATCAACTGCAAAACACCTCAGGTACGTTTCCAAACAGCGGTTGATTACTTCGGTCTGACCATCGGACTCCGGGTGATATGCGGAGCTCATGTGTAACTCCGTACCCTGGGATCGGAAAATCTCTTGCCAAAATTGACTCAGAAACAAAGGGTCCCGATCGCTCACTATCGATTTGGGAATTCCGAGGTGACGAATTACTTCTTTAACAAAAATTTCAGCCATGGATTTGGCGGTATAAGGGTGTTTAAGTAATATGAAGTGGCTATACTTAGACAACCTGTCTACCACCACTAATAAAGCATCAAACCCTCTAGACTTAGGAAGTCCTAGAATGAAATCCATAGACAAATGTTCCCAAATTGCATCAGGTATGTCTAAAGGCTGCAACAGTCCACCCGGGGCAACTGAATTTTCCTTACACCGTTTACAAACATCACAAGCCCGTACGTATTGCTTAACACGTTCAATCATGCCTAGCCAATATAAGTTTCCTGCAATTCGTCGATAAGTACGGTAATAGCCGGAGTGGCCTCCCGAAGCGGATTGATGAAACTCCTTGAGCAAACTGGGAATAAATTTGGAGTTCTTTGGAATTACTAACCGTCCTTTGTAGTAAAGTATTCCCTTACTAACTGAATACCCCGGATGAGTCTCTGGTTGAGCTTCACAGTCACGCCTCAACTTTCGTATTTCTGAATCTGCCTTATGTTCCGCYATTRACTYAGCYCCTTGCAGCCACARCRGCGTTGAGAGAATTGTCAATAATCCACCCTCTTCAGCCCTACGAGACAACGCATCAGCTGCTCGGTTTTCCCTACCCGGTTTGTAACAAATTTCAAAGTTGTAACCCAACAATTTCGCCACCCAATTCTGTTGATCCGGGCTAGTGATGCGGCGTTGTAATAAAAATTTCAAACTTTTCTGGTCGGTGGTATAAACCACAAACGAGGTCCCTAAAAGATAGGAACGCCAATGTTGGACGGCTAAAACCAATGCCATAATTTCTCGCTCATAAGCTGATTTGGCCAAGTTTCGATCGCTTAACACTTTGCTGAAATAAGCGATAGGTTTCTGCTGTTGCATTAACACTGCTCCAATACCCCGGCCGGAAGCATCACACTCAACCACGAAAGGAATGTTGAAGTCGGGAAGGGCCAACAAAGGAGCCTTGACCATAGCTTCTTTTAATCGATCAAAAGCTTCTTGTGCTCCCTCATGCCACGAAAAAGCATCCTTCTTAGTCAGCTCTGTTAGAGGTTTGGCGATACTGCCATAGTTACGGATGAACTTTCTGTAATACCCGGTAAGGCCCAAAAATCCACGCAATCCTTTAAT